CCAACCAACAAAGACACAGCGAACGCCATTAAAGAAATTTTGGAAAAGAGCACCCCCAGGCTTGTTTCTGTTTCTAAGAATTCATTCCAGAACCTGAAAGTCATCAAGAAGAACATGGATGCCATCAAGCTGGCCAAAGCCAACCCTCACCTAGCTAATAATGCCAAGCGTCTCATGACAACAGGGACAGTGTCAGCCCAAAAAACAAAACAGGTGCAGAAAGCCTTTGGAGGCACTGCTCTGGCAATGACCAAAAGAGCCAGAATCATGGGTGCAGCCACAGCAGGCCTCTCCCTTGTGTTGGATGTGGTCAGCCTTGTGGAAGACTCAAAGCATTTGCATGAGGGAGCGAAGGCTGAGTCTGCTGCAGAGCTGCGGAAGCAGGCTCGGGACCTGGAGCAGAAGTTGCAGGAACTCATCCAGGTCCATGACAGCCTGACTCAGTAACCTCTTCTTAGTGCAGCTCAGGGGACTGGGGGTGGGGGATGTACTAGACAGAGCCATGCACATGTAATAACTCCTGACTATATCCTCTTAACAGCAATGTTATTATGGTGGTAGTGCCTGCCAGAGGGAGAGGCCACACTGAGAGAATTGAATCCAGAACACAGATGGAACAGGCTTGTGACCTCCTACTACACCCCAACTTTTATCTCCAACAATCTCTAACAACCCACATAAGGACCAAGACCCCAGGCTGGGGATCACATCCAGGTCCTGACTAAGACACAGCATGGCTACTCCTCAGTCAGGCCCCCACACTGCTCCTAATTGAGGCTCACCATCCTCTCAGTCCACTGAGCTGCCAACTTTCCCACTGCTTTCTGGTTGTTTGCATAGAGACCATCTCCTCCTTCCTAGTTCAACCTAACTCTGTGTGTCTCCAAATATTTCCACCTCTGGCAATCAGACTCTGGATGTGAACCCCTTCTTTGTTCATGGTTTGTCATGAGGTAGTGATGGCAACCTTGGGGGAAATGCTCAGAGGCTATAAAGGAAAGAGTCCATGGAACATCATCTGTACAGTCATCACAGGTTCTTGTCCTATGTGGCAGCCGTGGATGCTTCGAAGAAGGAGAGGTGACAGGATATGGCTGGTAGGTTCTGCTCTCTGCTACTAGACTCTTGGGAAATTCTCAAGGTTTAATTCCTACTGAAGTTTAAAATCTGCTGTAGTTGCATGAGATCTGCTGACATGCACAGGAAGGCTACACCTGTTCAATAATATTTGAAGAATAAATTTGTAAACACTGACATGGTCTTGCTTTGTGTATTTTCTGGAAATGATACCATGTGTTTCTAGATTGTTGAATATAGAACATTGATATTTGCCTTCTGAATTTTATCATCTTCTCTTAAAATTGTTTTCTTTATTGTGGTTTAACAAGAATATTTCAAATTTATGCAAGAACCATTTTCCTTCTTTTTGTTGCCCTTTCCTTCTGACCACAGATGCACCCTGAGGCTGCAACAGTGAGCCGTGTCATCTTTCCCTTGCAGCTCAGGCACCCTTCTTCCCAAGTTCTGAACACTAGGCTCAGAATGACCTGTGTGAATTCTAGGCCTTATTTGTTAGAGAAACATTCTTGTGTTCCACAGCCCCTTCTGTCCTTCCTTGGGCTGGATCATCTGGCTAAGGGAAAGTTTGATGTGGTTGTAACCACCTCCCTGGGGTGCAGAGCAGTGAGAGAATGGAGTCCTGGATGAACTTGGGAAAGAAAGCTACCTGTGTCCTGACCTGCCTAGCAACTTGCTCCACAGTGTCAAGTTCATTGAGTCCTCTCTGCTGTTGAGCCATGTGCCCATGTTGGTGAACACTG